GAGTTCATTTCTAATCTTTTTCGTTCCTGTCTCTATTTCCATTACGTTTATACATTGACAATGTAAACAATGTTTTGGTTATCATATTAAAACTCTTTGACATGATGTTGTAAAAGAGTTTCACATTGTTTTCGGTGCATAGGAATTAAACTTCGTTTTTTTCGTGCAGCCTGAAAATTTACTGTTGGATGCTTCGGGTGACCTTAAGGTTTCTGATTTTGGATTGAGTGCTCTATCCCAGCAAGTCAGGGTAAATGATTTTCTCTACTTACCGTTTCTCGTTTAACATCGGAAAATGAAATCCTTAACTCCGTCTCTACTTTGTGCTAATCAATTTAGTAATGCAGGAGAGACGGTATTTTGAGTTCTTATATTTAGTTGTATTTTCCAGGCTGATGGCTTACTGCATACCACTTGCGGAACTCCGAACTATGTTGCACCTGAGGTAAAACCAAACTGGTTTTTGCTTAACTTTCTCTTTATGTTTTTCTGGAACAGAATTAGCAGATAGGCATTCTGTTAGCTTGTAAATGAACTCGTAGTTAGAAATCAGATGCTCAGTAGTGTCCAGTCTCTCTCGATCTCTCTCCAATACTTTAAAACGAGCTTACAATGCTTCTGCTTAAATAGGAGTTATATAAGTAGTTCACCTATTTGATTCGAATGAGTAACCTCACTTTCTTTCCCTACTACAATATGCTCAAAAACATGTTTCGACATATCAAAGAGCGATGACAGAGATTTTTACTGACCTACTACGTAACACATGTGAGCCTTACGTGGATGATTTAGTAGGCTTTCCAAAATAAAAAACCGAACAAATCCAAAATTTACTCCAGACCTTCGAAAGGTTAAAGAAACATCAATTGAATCTTTTGACTGAAAAATTGAACTCCTTTATTATTAGGTACTCAATGACCGAGGATACGATGGGGCAACGGCAGACCTCTGGTCGTGCGGAGTCATTCTCTTTGTACTGCTTGCAGGTTACTTGCCTTTTGATGACTCCAATCTTATGAACCTCTATAACAAAGTGAGTTTTTTTCTTCATCATTTCGTACCGTTAAATCTTTGTGTGCTTATCTGTTGGCTAAGTTTCACAATGTCTGTCCTGGTATACAGATCTCTGCTGCTGAATTTACGTTCCCACCTTGGATCTCTTTTGGTGCTATGAAGTTGATTACTCACATCTTGGATCCGAATCCTACGACAGTATGTATACTGGATATTGTGAGTATACGTCGATATTTTCTACTTTCTTCTTATTCATGATATATATGCTATATGCAGCGTATTACCGTGCCTGAAATTTTGGAGGATGAATGGTTTAAGAAAGATTATAGACCACCTGTTTTCGATGAGATAGAAGATACAAACCTGGATGATGTCGAAGCAGTCTTCAGGGACTCTGAAGTGAGCATACTGAACATATTGAATGTGATACTTTATCTATCGATTATAGAGGAAAGAAGTGTTTGCAATACGAAATATCTCTCACGTGCTATGTACTCCTTTCTTGGCATTACAACAGGAATATCACGTAACGGAGAAAAGAGAAGAGAAGCCAACATCCATGAATGCATTCGAGTTGATTTCTATGTCACAAGGGCTTAACCTTGGCAATCTCTTCGACGAACAGGTCACAAATTATTGTCTTTATTTTAAATATTTTCCCACTTTGTACGAAACATTGATGATGTTCGTATTATTTTGTTCTTCGTATGTTTGACAAAATGTGTTGATTCTGTTTCTTCTCAGGGATTCAAGAGAGAAACAAGGTTCACGTCTAAATGTCCGGCCAATGAGATAATCAGTAAGATTGAAGAAGCTGCTAAGCCTCTCGGTTTTGACGTTCACAAAAAGAACTACAAGGTGGTGATGAAGTTCACACTTATGCATTCTATATATGTCTAATGATCTATATGAGATAGTGATTATAACGGAAATGAAACGCTTAACTGTTCTTATGTTCGATGTGTCCCCTCAGATGAGGCTCCAGAATCTGAAAGCCGGTAGAAAAGGGAACCTTAATGTTTCAACTGAGGTATTTAAATGTGCATCTGTGTTGATCTTTTGAAATGTTTTGTTTTATTCTGAACGTTGTTTCGATCTTCAATTTAGGTGTTTCAAGTTGCTCCTTCTCTTCATATGGTCGAGGTGCGGAAGTCAAAAGGAGACACTTTGGAATTCCACAAGGTACATGTAGTATTGTTATCTTTACGACTACTCGTAGGTGTTAATAGGCGTTTTGACTCGTATAATCACAAGCAACCCCAGGAGATTGGCCTGATGTAAAGTTTTATCACAGTTATGAGTTTTGTTGCTTGGACTCGTGTACGGATGTGGATCTTGAAATCGGATTCTTGGTTATAGATGTAGTCAAAACATCCAAGTTAAGTTGACCAAATCCGGTAGGGGATCTCACATCCACATCCGGTTTAAGGTCACCGTTGTGTAGTAGGTTGAAGGTCAACATAAAAATAGTTTCAATATGATGAATCCTATGATACATATAGTGTATTCATATAACCGATCTCAACTTACTTAGAATTAAGACGTAGTTATTGATTAACGTATTAGTTAATTTTCTTCGTAGCATACCTCCGACCCTTCGCTATCGTCTTTTAACCATTTTTTTTTTGTTTTTATGCAGTTCTACAAGAATCTTTCAACCTGCCTAGATAATGTTGTATGGAAAACTGAACAGGACATGGAAGAAAAAAAATGAAGAGCAATTTCTTATTGTTTTTTTCCATATCTTTTTTAAAATTTTGGGACCATATTTTAAAGGTTTTACCAATTGTTTTATTAGGGGTAGGTGTTTTATTAGACAAACAGTAGTATTTGCTTCAATTAAAATTAAGTTTGTATAATTTGTATCACTTTTTGGAAAAATTGTGATTGCAATTGTATACAGTATGTTGGATTTTTCAGATTTCCTTTTTTCTCTTTGAAAAATCATTATTTCATTTCTACTCTCTTGATTAAACAAAAAAGAAAAAGGACAGCTCGATGCACTAAGTATTGCTATGCACGGGATCCTAAGAAGGTTCAAACTAATATGTGCACGGTGAGGCTTTGCATTAATATTATATGATGGTGAACGTTGAGTTGTTAAAGTCCAATATATCTATAACATGAGTATTGAAGAGATGTGAATGCTAGAATGAATGTACGGTCATACCAGTTTAATAATGACTATATTCAACAACACACATTATGGATAAATTGTAAGAAGATCGCTTGAGATCGATAGACCTAAAATCACATAAAAGGAAGTTTTCTAGAAAATTTATTAGTCTTTGTTATTGATGCAGATTTAGCTGAAAATATAGGATACAAAAGAGAACCCTATAAGTGATATTATTACTAGTTAAGGATAAATATTAGACTTTTTATGGAAATTAACTTGGAATTTTTTTAGGGGAATGAACATAATTATTGTTGTTAATATCAGTGTGAACTTTGCAGCAAAAATGTAACACTTGCAAATAAGCATATAATACATAAACGTGTCATTTAATTTAATCTTAACTCGACATTTATGTCCTCTAATACTTAAAACATGCGCAACTTGGTTTCAACTTAACATCTATGCCCTTCAGCTTTGAATGTGCAATAGATACGCCCTACATCTATTCCCTCCAACTTTGAATTTTCAAGACACTTGAAATTAAACAGATAAACACATATGCAGCCTAATACAAATCAATTCATATCTCACGTGAATTACAAGTCAATTCAACTATATCTCATGTGAATTGTCATGTTGGACGAGTGAATTGCCATGTAGGACAAGTGTATTCAAATGCAATCCAACTATATCTCACGTGAATTGCCATGCCATGTTGGACAAGTGTTTAAATTACCATATAGAACAAGTGTATTCAAATTACCGTAAGACAAACGTGTATTTATTCAACTTTAGATGTCAACTAAAACCAACCTAATGATTACATAAATGCCATCAACTATAACCAAATTAAAAGATGAATATCATATATATACACATACTATAACAATTTGAACTTGAATTGTAGGGCTTTACCTCAAAGGGAAGCCCTTTCAAAAATTCTCAACGGCCATGGCAAAAGCCAAGGCCGATGAGGGGGTTTGGAAATAGTTTTCAACCAGCAATAGACGCGCCTCAGTTAGAACCTCACTAGCTGCGTCATTGCCCCAAGCGCAAAGATAATTTAAACCATGTAGAAGCCTTGGGTTATATAGCCCTATGCTTCACCCACTTTCTTATACAATATCGATATGGGACAACTATAGTATCCTTTTTCAATTGCCAACACTTCAATTCTTTGCCTTCCAACTTATGGATTACTATAAAAGGTGTGTTTGATACGAAAGAAAATGTTTTCCAGGAAAATAAATAATTTTTCTTGTATTTGGTATGTAAGTAAATGAAGTTGGGGGTAAGGGTGTTAGGGTTGTGGGAATGGGAGTTATGGCGTTGGGATGGGGTTGAAATGTGTTGGAGGGTGGGGGAGGAAATAATTATTGTGGAAATGTCATTTCTCGAATTTGATTTCGTTACTTTTTTTTGGACATAGTCAGTCACTTAAACTTGTCACGATGTTTCATTTATATATTTGGACTAAGTTATGTTTCAGTTGGACATTTCAACTAGTAATAAAGTGTTTTAATTAGACATTTTCGATTCAAATGTGACCAACCAATGTTGACTCACATGATTAAATAGTATATATTTTGCATATTAAAACAATATCATTGTGAAAAAACTTTTCATGAATAGGAATAAATCTTTCTTTAGTATATAGAAGCATAGTAATGCCACTCTTTCAAAACCTCCGTTACACTTTTGGCTAATTTTGAACATTCTTGGGCATTTCACTAAAGTTACTTGCTATAGAATTGCCTTGGACTCTTCTTTATATTTCGACTCTCCTTGATGAAAATCCTGATTCCGCCTCTGGGCGACCGTGTACCTTTGTCTATTACTATTTACATGATGGACATTTCTCTTGAGACTAACTTGTCATCTGCTTTTGTTTAATCTGTTGTGAACTCTTCATGACATCTTTTGGTGCTTGTACAAGTTCTAGTGTAGCTAGAACCTCATCCATGGTTGGCCTAAGTTTCGGATCGACGTCGAGGCACCTCAGGACAAGGGAAGCTGCAGCTTGTGCACCTTTCTTTGAGTACTGTCCTCCTAACCTTGTGTCCATTATTCTCAACACTCTCCTACTATCACTTATGAATGGTTTTGCCCATTCCACCAATTTCTCATCAGCACCTCCTGCATTTTCAGCACCCGTTGATCGTTTTCCGGATAGCAATTCTAGTAGAACAACTCCAAAGCTGTAAACATCAGTCTTTGGTGTCAAGTGACCTGTTATGAACAAGTTGAATTGGAAAGTTTAGTGAAAAAAGGCCTTTACCACGTTAGTCACGTGCAAAAATATCAAAGAGTTTAAATTCTATGCACTGACGTTCAAATCACTTATAAGGTAATACAAATAGTTTTTAAGGTAACACATGATGCTTATCAACTGATTTAGAAACCTGATGCAAGATATTCTGGTGCAGCATAACCGATAGTACCAACAACTCTGGTCGAGAAATGAGTTCTGCCTCCACTAGGACCATCTCTTGCCAGACCAAAAGCCGATAGCTTGGCATTGAAATCCTGCAGAAGTTCAATGAAAAACTTACGCGACTTAAAAGTTATAACTTGTCTAATGCTAATCATTACTATTTCAGTTTTGGAGAGCTTACTGAATCAAGTAGTATGTTTGAAGCCTTGAGATCGCGATAAACAACATTTGCTTCAAGACTGTGTAAGAAAGACAAGCCTCGTGCAACATGTACTGCAATAGACATTCGTGTAGCCCAAGGTATAATCTGAACTCCCTCTATTCACAAAACAATTGAAAGGCGTTAATCGTTAACCTTATAACTAAGCATACAAAAACAAAGGTAAAGAGATTTTACTCACTTTTAAATAAGTGATTTTCCAAACTTCCTTTAGACATGACTTCATAAACAAGAAACCTGTTATCAAGCTCCGCGCAATATCCAATTAAGCTCACTAGATTTTCATGGTAAAGCAGCCCTAAGTAGTTAACCTCTGCCTGCATGTTTGGTTGTGTCGAAAACAAAGTTAAATCACAAAAGTACAAGATGTTAACTGCCAAGGTATTGTCCACTCTGGCCAAATCCCACATTGAAATGTGAGGGGAAGTTTAGTGATCATAAAAGGCGGAGTCAGGAATTCAACTTTGAGGGCATCTCCAAGGTTAAATCCCGAAGGGACAAAACCATGATGCCCTGAAGTTAGGTCCAAAGCGGACAATACCTTGACAATTAGACCTGGACAGTTACAGTTTAAGTTGTTTATGACATACAAGCCATTCTCTATGCCCTTGGAAGCTTCCGGGCTTAAGTTTCTTGACAGCTACAACCATACCACTTCCTGGTTTGCAAGGAGCAAAAGTATTCTCATCTATCCATCCTTTGAAGACGTAACCAAAACGTCCTTCGCCAAGAAGACTATCAGCTCGGAAGTTCCTAGTTGCATTTTTCAGTTCATTGTAGGTAAATGACTTGAGGTTGCTTGGAACAAATGAATCATTTGAGCAAAAACTGTTATGAAATGAGTGTTTATGAGAATGAAGCTGTTCCTTTTTCACACTGCTTGAAGAGCCAGAATTAGAATCTGAAATAGAAATTGCCAAGTAAGTTAGGGTCGAGTATACGAATCCTTACTGTTCATGTCACTCCCCTTAAGCTTCTCTAGCACAAGAAGTTATGTACATTGTCTAAAAAAATCCAAACAAATATTGTAACTCAATATACCAAAGCAGAAACAATATGCTTGAAAATTTGGAACAAAACACAAGTAGATAGAGGACGTCATACAGAAGCTAATAATTGCAAACTTTGATAACAATAAATTAATGTCTCTAGTGTAGCAACAAAGGTGACTCAAAAAAGTTCAAAAATCTAGGTGTGACATTATTGCATTTTTCTCGAAACTCCTACTAAAATTTCTGGCTCCACGATTAGTCCAAAGTCATAGAGCCTTGGCTAGTGACACACAACAATAAATGAATATCATTTACAAATCATAATGTTCAACTTTTGTATACAAATTATGTTCAAAGGGAATTGTACCAAAAAATAGGCTAGAAGAAGCATGATCAAGTTTTGAAGATTTTCCAGAGCAAATCCCCATTGTAATGAGAAGTTTATAATACTTTGAATTTTTTTTGGAAATTTATAGGGAAGGGAAAAGAGAAAAAACAAAAAAAATGTCTATATTTGGAAAAATATATAGTTGAATAAATTAACCCAAAATTTAATATTATTCCTTAGTGGTCTTCAGTCAAGGACAATTCCTAATATAATAAGATATTCATTGAGAAAAAAGTTTGACTACGAGCCTGCTTGGATTGACTTAAAAAAATAGCTTTTAAGTCAAAAATAAAAAATTCAAACTAAAATGATTTTAAGTTAAAAAATAAAAAGTAGGGGTGTCTACTTTTGGTTTATATCTTATTTTAAGTTATTTTTAGCCTGACCAAACACTTACTAACTTATTTTAAGTCATTTCTTTTTTTTACTTTTATTAAGTTATTTTTATATTTGTCAAACACTTATAGAAGTCAAAAACTGATTTAAAAGTAGGTTTGACTAACTTTTAAGTCAATCAAAACACCCTCTAAGGACCACTTATTGCCATTTATACATAACTTGTTGATTTATTTAAGAAATTATAATACATGAACTATTTATAATTAGAAATAAAATGATTATTATTCGATGTATATTGGTAAAAATATGAATAAAGCAAAGACTATTTGACCAAACACATTAATGAAGTGTGCTACCACTTTCATGTATATAATTATAGTTATTACTAATTATGATATGAATTTCAATTTTCAAAGTTTTGATTAATATATTTCTATATAAGATTGAGATTAACACAAAAGGAAATAACTTGAAATTTATGTTTTTCTTTTTTCGACAACAGTAATAGTTTAGTCAAAATTATCGCATTTGGAAAATGAAGGATTCTGCTGCACATAATTAATAAATTAGATTACATTAATTTAATATTTTAAACAAAACATTTAGATACTCAAAAACCATACAAAAAGTACTATAAATTGCAATATTTTGCATATCAATATGATGGAAAAATATATAGTAAAATGTTAGTCAAAGTTCTTATAGTTTGACTCTAAAAAATAAAATCATGACAATTAAAAGTGGATGGAAGGAGTACTGTATGTAGACACGCTTCATTTTTAGGCAGAATAAACTGGGAGACCACAGTAATAGTTTAGTAAAAAAAATTGACATCATTAATAAAATAAATAAATGTAAACTACAATTGTAATACATTTGAATTCAATACATTATACATATTATAGATATTTTTCAATGCACATATTGAATATATGACTACTATATTTTTAATACAATAATATATATTAGTGAACAATTGTTTATAGATTTGGAGAATCCAAGACACTAAAAACCTCTTTTTAGATGGGGTCAGATCAGAAAGTTCATGTATTTGAGGAGGTTGCAAAGCACAACAAGACCAAAGATTGTTGGCTTATTATCAGTGGAAATTAAAGGTGTATGATGTGACTCCATTTATGGAAGATCATCCAGGTGGTGATGAAGTTTTGCTTTCAGCAACAGGGAAAGATGCAACGAATGACTTTGAAGATGTCGGCCACAGTGATTCTGCGGGGCTCTCACCCCTTTCCTCCGCGAACGAGCCAAAAGCTCTGCGAACACGGAGGATTGCACCAGAACACATAAAAACCAGCCAACGCCAAAAGACACCAAAAAATCATAACCTTTCAAACTCAAAACCTACGAAAAATCTCAACTTTCAACTCAAAGTTCAAAACCAACTTCTAAAATTCAATCAAAAACGACTCGGGGCCAACATCGGGAGGGGCAAGATAGTAATTTCCACATAAAACCAGAAATGACCGACCGAGTCATTACATTATCCACCACTAAAAACCATGTTTGTCCTCAAACATAAGGCAAAAGGAAATACCTAAAGCTTCGAAAAACTGAGGATATCTGGCACACATATTTGATTCTATCTCCCAAGTCGTCTCACCGACTGAACGATGCTTCCACTGCAACTTCACTGAAGTGATCTCCTTGGTCTTAAGCTTCTGGACCTGCCTATCCAAGATGGATAAAGGATCCTCCTCAAAAGATAATTTTGAACCCAACTCAAATGAATCAAGAGAAAGTACATGAGACTCATCCGGCACGTACTTTCGAAGCATGGAGACATGAAACACGGAATACACAACTGAAAAACTCGGTGGCAAGGCCAACTTCTATGCCACCTCTCCTACACGGCTCAAAATCTCAAAGGGTCCAATGAATCTAGGGCTAAGCTTTCCCTTATTTTTGAACCTTATCACACCCTTCATGTGTGACACTCAGAGCTAAACATGATCACCCTCCATGAACACTAAGGCTCGAACTCTCTGATCCGCATAACTCTTTGGTCGACTCTAGGTTGTCAACGGTCTATCCTGGATCATAAGGACCTGCTCCATAGCATCTCTAAGAAAGTTTGTATATAATGAATTCATTTCAGCTGAATCAAACCATCCGATCAGAGATCTACACCGCCTACCATATAACGCCTCAAATGTGATTATGTGAATGTTGGAATGGTAATTGTCGTTGTAGGCAAATTCTGCTAAGGGCAAATGCTGATCCCACCTAGCATTAAAATTAATCACACAAGCTCGGAGCATGTCTTGCAATACCTGAATTGTCCGCTTGGATTGACCATCTGTCTAGGGATGGAAGGCTGTACTCATATCTAACCAAGTACCCAAACTATGTTGCAATGCCTTTCAGAAATGGGAAGTGATCAATAATGAACCTCGGTCAGAGACAATGAAAATAGGGACTCCGTGTAATCGCACAATCTAATTGATATAAAGCTCAGCTAACTTCTCTACCATATACTTCACCCGAATTGGGATGAAATGGCCAGACTTGGTCAACCTATCAACAACCACCCAAATTGAGTCATAACCACTTACTGTGGTGGGTATTCCCATAACAAAGTCCATAGTAATCCACTCCCACTTCCAAGTAGGAATAGACATCCTCTAAGATATACCTCCAGGCCGCTGGTGCTCACACTTGACCAGTTAACAAGTCAAACACCTCAAAACAAGATCTGCAATATCCCTCTTCATACCACAGCACTAATAGTGCTAGCTCAGGTTATGATACATCTTTTCCGCTCCCGAATGGATGGAATATAGGGAACAATGGGCCTCCTCAAGAATCAGTCTAGTCAACTCGCCCACCTTGGGCACACAAATCTTGACTCCAATCCACAAGACACCATCAGAATCAAGGATAGCCTCCTTGGCTTCCCCTCTCATCACCTTGTCTCGGATGAGACATAGTTTATCGTCATCAAATTGACACTCACAAATCTGCTCAAATAAGGAAGAATGAGCCTTAATAAAAGCAATCAAACCACCCGTCTTCTCAGAAACCCGCCACCGAATGAGACTGTTGGCTAACCTCTGAACATCTCTAGCCAATGGTCTCTTCTCCACACTAATAACGTCAAGACTCCTCATGCTAGAAGTCTTTCTACTCAAAACATCGGCCACCACATTGTCCTTCTATGGATGATAGAAGATGGTGATGTCATAGCCTTTCAGTAGCTCAAGCCATCAGCGTTACCTCAAGTTGAGATCTCTCTGATTGAAGATGTACTGAAGATTTTGATGGTTAGTGAAAACCTCACAGTGCACCCCGTACAAATAATGTCGCCATAGCTTAAGCACAAACACTACGACTGTCAACTCCAAATCATGGGTAAGGTAGTTTCTTTCATGGGTCTTCAACTGCCTAGAAACATTAGAATACCACCTAATACGACTCCAGAAGCATCATAATAAACGGTAAAATTCACACCCTTCTTGGGTAAAGTAAAAAATGAGCCGAAGCCAACAAGGTCTTGAGCTTTTGAATCTCTCATCACACTCATCAGACCACTGAAAACTCATACTCTGGCGAGTTAATCTAGTCAAGGGAGATGCAAATAGTAGAGAAGCTCTGCATAAATCATCGGTAATAAACTATAAGTCCCACAAAACTTTAGATAGCAGTAATCGATGTAGGTCTGGTCCAACCCCTCACTGCCTCAATCTTGGCTGGATAGACCTGAATACCCTCCCTGGAGACCACATGTCCCAAAAATTACACATTATCAAGCCAAAACTCGCACTTAGAAAACTTGGCATAAAACTTCTCTTCCCTCAATCTCTGGAGTACAATCCTCAAATGCCGATCGTGATCTCCCTCAGTCTTGGAGTAGACCAAAATGTCATCAATGAAAAATATCACACAAGTATCCAGATAAGGTCGGAACACCTTTTTTATCAACTCCATGGACATTGCAGGGGAGTTAATCAAACCGAACGACATCATAAGAAACTCATAGTGATCATAACGAGTCTTGAAAGCTGTCTTAGGGATATCCAATGCCCTAATCTTCAACTGATGATAACCGGATCTCAAATCAATCTTAGAAAATAGAGATGCACCCTAAAGCTGATCAAACAAATCATCAACATGAGGAAAAAGATACTTGTTCTTCACTGTCACTTTGTTCAGCTGTCGATAATCAATACACATCCTAATGGATCCATCATTCTTCCTCATAAACAACATAAGAGCATCCCATGGAGAAACACTAGGGAGAACAAACCCTTTACTCAATAAATCCTGATCCTTTAATTCCTTTAACTTATCTTAAGCCATACGATAATGAGAAATAGAGATGGGCTTGGTGCCCGGCTCCAAGTCAATATCCTTATCCGAAGGAACACCTGGAAGATTAGTAGGAAACACATATGTAAACTCTCGTTTCACGGGAACAAAATTCATGGGAGGTGGCTCAACACTAGTATCCCAAATGAAAGCCAAGTAGGACAAACACCCTCTATCAATCAGTCTTTGAGCTCTAATGAAGGTTATAACCTTGCTAGGGTAAGAACCACTAACACCTGTCCACTCAACTCTCGGGACACCTGACATCGCTAAGGTCATAGTCTTAGCATAACAATCAAGGATAGAATGATGCAGAGAAATTCGATCCATACCCAAGATAATAACTAAGTCTACCATCCTCAAAATGATCAAGTCTACCCAAATATCATACCCGACCAATAAAACAAGACAAGATCGATACACTCGATCCACCACTAAGAAATCACCCACTAATTTAGAAATACGAATAGGAACAGACATGTAATTAGACAACATATCAAACCCAACATTAAAGTAGGTAGACACCTATGAGAAAGTAGATCCCGAATCAAACAACACAAACGTAGGTCGATGGCAAACTAGGACGATACATGTGATCACACTATCAAAAGTCTCAGCCTCGGCCCTCATTGGAAAAATATAACAATGGCCATCTCGACCACCTGTAGTCTGAGTAGAACCTCTACCTCTATCCTATGGAGCTGGAGTACCCCTATCAGTAGTACTGCCACTTTTATCGAACTGAGTTTTGCCTCGAACCTAGTCGGAGGTGCTGAATCCCTAGCTGGAGCAGCTGAAACAGAACGCTGAGGTACTAAATGAGTCTGTAGAGGACACTGTTGCATTATATGACCTAGATCCCCACAAACATAGCAATATCTCGGCACAGATAGCTTCTACAAACCCGATGAATTACTACGGCCACCTCGGACAGAACCAAAAGAACCTTAGGTTGATTGCCCACTCTCAACTACTGGCATAGAAGCATGAACCTCAAGGCACTGGAAGGAGCTACCACCTATATACGAACCTTTGCCTCCAGATGAGACACCAGAAAACTAAACAGAAGAATGGACCCTCTTGGGCTCCCCAAACTTCTCTAAGACCATCACCTCTGCTTCATTGACAGAGCTCACAATGGACTGGAAGAAAGCCCTCTCTCTAGATGCCCTAGACACATAAGATCTGACGGAGAAAGTAAACCCTCTCACAAATCGGCGAACTTTCTCTGCCTCATCCGACACGATAGTCAAAGCATGCCTAAAAATCTCAAAGAAATCGGCCTCATACTCAGTCACAGACAAAGTGCCCTTACACGACTCTCATCTCTCACGCTCCACAGAATGAAGAGGTCCTGGAAAATACTAGAAAACACATTCCATTATGTCGGAGAAGATCCAATTGGTCTAGACCTGACAAAAGTCCTCCAGTACCACTCTTTGGATCGAACGCAAAGCTGAAGGGCAACAAACAGAATACAGCGAGCATCCACCATACCTACAGCCTCAAACATCTCATGTCACAAAGTCAAGCGTTCATGAGCATCCTTGTCTTACCACCCTGAAACTGGGTGGTTTCATTTTCTGAAACCTCTCATAACACTGCTAATCAGCCGCTGTCAAGATAACCTCAGGAGCAATTTGTGCACCAACAACCGATGTAGGAACCACGGGTGGCTGGCCTACCCTAACATGAACACTTGGAGTCTGCTACTGACATAAAGTCTATTCCCTCGGAGAAAGGTTCCCTAACACACTAAGCATCATCTACAAAGTCTCCTGAAACAACGGAGCCCCAAACTCAAGAGGAACTTGATCCTCAACAACCTCAAATTGTGGCTCAGGAGAAGTCTCTCTAGCTCAACCTCTGACTGGTGCCGCCCCATGGGCATGACCTCTTGCTGGTGCTACTCCATGAGCACGACCTTTAGCTCAGGCCCTACCTTTACCTCTACCTCTAGCAGGGGTCTTCACAACAGCCTTGGGGACTGCCTCCCTTCTACCTCCGAAAACAAAAGCTCTGATCCTCGACATCTACCAAAACAATACACGGAAACTCAGCACTAGCGAAGGTAACCATGCACAATAAGAAAAGATGAATAAAAGAAAGTTTCCTAACAATCTTTGTAGCCTCTTGAAGATAAGTACAAACGTTTCTGTACTGATCCTTAAGACTCTACTTAGACTTGACTTGTACACACGTGAGACCTATGAACCTGGGGCTCTGATACCATTTTGTCATGACCTAAAAATGGATGTGATGACACTTGTCTTTCCTCACCAAGACAAGTCTGCCTCAACCCAACGAAGACGAAAGAAAATCGAAAAATAGGAAAAAAAGATAAAGCGGAAAATTTATTCCTTCTTTTAAAAGCCCCAAAATCTTATTGTCACGTGTACAAGCTAAAACATACATAAGTGCGGAGTTAAGAAATAAATACAAGTCTCAAGCTTTATTTCTTAAACAAAACAAAGTGTAAGAAAAGGGCCCGCCAAATGACAAGCAGCTACCTCTTCAAGTCCTTGACGAGCCTTGAGGTAAATAGAAGGAGAAAAAGATCACGTAGGTCCGAGCTCTGAACCTATACAAGTGTAGAAGAAAGGGTGAGTACCAACAACACGGTACCCAACAAGCAACCTACTAAACAAACAACTAGCTAGAAATCAAATACCCCTTACACTCTAACCGAACCTCCTTAAACTACAACCTGCACATAAATCAACCCAACCTAGCAATTCTATAATACATGACTAACATGCCCAATATTCACAGTTCAATATTCACAATTCAATAATCAAACAAACCAAGTAAGTCATTCTTAATGACAAGTAGTTTAGTCACACATAACAAGTACATCAATCTCAAGTATCAAGGAAGTCACACATAAGCATTAAATATATCAAGTAAAAATAATAAACCTCTTGCCAAAACCATTTCTTATCGGCACAATATCGCTAGTTGGAACCATTTCCCATCAACTTTGTATCACATCACTAGCCAAAACCATTTCCCATCCGCTTTATATCACATCACTAGCCGAAACCATTTCCAATCAGCTTTATGTCAAATCACTAGCCGAAACCATTTCCCATCGGCTTTATATCACATTACTAGCCAAAACCATTTTCCATCAACTTTATATCAAATCAATAGTTGGAACCATTTCCCATAGGCTTTATAACTCATCACATGTCTCATCACGGTGTTCAACAATCAATGCACACAAACAATATCACACCACATAGAAGAGACAACAATTTGCACAATTCAAGTCCACATTCATGCTTTCAAGCATTTCATCAATCAATCAATCTAATAGTTGAGTCTTTTCCTTCCGAATCATTTTTGAAGCCACACAATCTATAAATAAACAAGTATTTATATTCACTTTCCTGAAACAGCAACACCCACAACTATTTCCTTGAAAGGTGGGTCAATCAACACAAAACTCAATTCTAAAATTAAGGTTTGAATCTGGAAAAACAATACTTGAAAGCATTACTAAAGGCTTTAGGAGCTCATTAAGGAAAATCATTTCGAAAATGGGCTTGAAAATCAGTTCATAACTCACTTTTACTTCAAAATTCAAGTTCATGAAGAACTCCCAATTCATCAACCCAAAATCTTGATTTAGAGTTAAAGAAACGTTACCCAACAGTTATCTTGAAAATCCCACATGAAATCGCCTCTACCGAGTTCTCAAAGCTCCAAAAATGAAAATGGGGAAGAAACCCCGAAATTGGGTTTAACACTGCCAAGGTCCTCCACAAATACGAGTTTTAATGATCTGGACCTCCGCAAA